AATTCAATCGTTTATGGGAATGGTAAATTATTACCATAGATTTATTGAAGATTTTGCAAGGGTAGCAGCTTCCTTATATGAGTTATTACGGAATAATGTATCTTTTGAGTGGAAAGATGAACAAGAATTGGCGTTTGAGTGGTTAAAATTACAAATTAGCAAGGAGCCAATTTTAGTATGTTTTAACAGCGAATTGGAAGTTATTTTGGCGTTAGATGCCTCGAATAAAGGTGTTGGAGGATCTTTATTGCATGTGATAGAAGGTTTAGAAAGACCGGTAATATTTTTTTCGAGGGTATTCAGAGAGGTGGAAACCAGATATTCGGTGATAGAACAAGAATATTTGGCAGTTATTTTTGGGTTGACAAAATGCAGAGAATATTTGATAGGGAGGAAATTTGTGGTGTATACGGATCAGGGTTTCGAACCGTTTAGTATAACGGTTCGGTTCGTTCCGGTTTTCAGTTTAAAATTTTATAAAGGTTTTGTTCCATTCGGTTTTTTAAAAAAAAATCATATCGGTTCGGTTCGGTTTATAATTTATAACGGTTCTTTTCGGTTTGTTCCGGTTTTTATAAATTTAATTTTAAAAAAAATTAATCATTAACCATGTATATATTAATTTTAGAGAAAAATCTTTTTAGTTTATAATTTCTTATTTAATTTATCCATAATAATCTAATAGATATTTTTATTAAATTTAGGAAATATAAATTAGACAAATTAGTTTTTTTTTATTTCATAAATAAATAAGATAAAAACAAACATGCGTAAATACAATAATGAATAAAATAATATGTATACTATACTATTTAGGTTTAAAAAGAGAATTCGAACGGATAACTAAAATATTTTCTAATATTTCAGGATTTAATTTAGTTCTCTGCGCAGAGAGTATAAACTTAAGGCTTGAAAATGCTCTTTCTACGGAGACCTGCGTAGCTGGAACTGCTAGCACAGTTATAGCTAACTTATAAAGTTCTGGCATACTATTCTTTACATTTTCCCAATAATTCAAAATGTTAGTATCTTTTTCTAATCTCTCTATATTATCAAATGACCGAATTATATATTCTATTTCTATACATTTATTATAAATTTTCGATGCCCTGAGAATTTCTTATTAAGAATTTCATGCGACTTTAATAAATCTTCAAAATCATCATCTAAATTATCCTTCGAATACGAACACGTAGGCATAGTATTTGGAATTTCAATATTCTGATTATTTAGATTTTGTATCAAGTTCCAAGTTTTACAAAGATGTTTTCTGGCGATCTCTCTTTCTTCAAAAGTTAAAAATACATTATATCTAGATAAATAGCAGAGCAAAAAACTTCATTTTTGAAATTTATTTCTCGTGCTTTCATCGTAGAAACTAAAAGTCTGGCAAATGGAATGTCTACTTTACTCATTTGCATGAGACATTTGATCCACGCAGCATAAAAATCGCCCATTGTCAATTGTTCACTTTGTAAATATTTTGTCAAAACATAAGCTGGATATAAAGCTTTTAATATGTCACTAATTATTTTCCATTCATTCTCCGCTTTGGAGCGATATTTATTGGCAAAAGCTTTTTAACTCTATTAATCTCTTCAACATTAAATAGATAGAGTTCCATCTTGTGCAACAATCTATTAGTGGTTTTTTCAAATTTAATTTTGAGAGAATAGCCATTGTTGTCTGATTTCTTATTTTGTTGCAGATGTTTCTTACTTTATTTATAAGGACAATTTCATTTGAATTTTTAATGCAATCATTAATTGCTAATTGAAATGTATGTGAAGCACATCTAATACCTATTAATATGGATCTGGCATTTGATGCAAGATTAATATTTTCAATATTAAAAGGTTCTTTATTTTCATCATGAATTATATCATTATTATTTAAATCATCATTATCTATATCATTATTATTTAAATCATCATTAATTAAATAATCGTTAAGGTCATCATCTTCATCATCTTCTTCATCGTGTAGTATTAATAGCTTAATTAACTTAATCATATTTGCTGCATTATCGGTGGTTATTGTGTAAATCTGCTCAATTTTTATTTCATATTCTTTTAGAACATCTAGAATAATTTTTTTAAGATATTCTGATGTGTGTCGTTCTTTAATCACTTTCATGCATAGAGTCCTTAATTTTATTTTTCCGTTATTTATAAATTGAATATTGATCCCCAACATGGATTTATCATATCTAGTTGCTATATCTAATTTTAACGAAATAAGTTTTTGATATACTTCCTTTTTTATATTTCCCGAAAAATTTAACGCCATTTTTTAAATATTATTGCGTATATTTTCCGAATTGATAGTTAAATTTCCACCCAATCCTATAATTATTGGATCTAGAATATTTCGAAATGCTTTGTCGTCAATTGATTTTATTGGCATACCGTGAATTGTTATTAGCTCGGTGCAGGAGCGGATTAAAGTTTATTTATTTATATTGATTTGTATTGTAGTAGTGTTGGACTTAAAAGCATCTTGGATTGTATTATACTGGTTTGCAGTTTTCGTTATTTGAATTTTTTTAATAGTCAAATTTTTTCTTAATAATGGAATCTTTCTATATGTCGTTCAAGATTTGCAGCATGGTCCCCAGTTAAGACCTTACCACAATCTTCTATTTTACAAATAGATTGATTTTTTATGATATCTAATTTAAAATAGGAAAGCACAGGATTTGACTTTTCCCGAACCATTTAATAGATAACTAAAAAGCTATATGATGATAGATGAAAATCTTTTATTATATAAATAGAATAAATAAAAAAGCTTAATAGAAACAATTTTACCTTCATTTTTATTTTTTTAAATAACTTGGATTATAGAATTTAAATGACAATAAATAAAATGGTCAGCAATAAATATTTTAATGATATAATAATTTTTTATTTATAAAAATCATATTTTTTTTTAAATTCAGAATTCTAATATTTATTATTAAAATAATATGTTAGTTAGCATTTAACATTATCATATATGCAAAATAAAAAAATATGATTAAAGAATGGCATTTGTAATGAATATTTTTCTAAATCTGTATTTTTAAATAATAAAAATCTTACTATAAATCTTCAGTTTAAATAAGTTAACTAACATTGCATTAAATTATTTTATACTTTTATTTATTTGTTTTATATTAAATAGACTTACATTTAAAAATAGGAATTACATTTTGATGTTAAACTAAATATAACTAGTATAGTTTAATTCAAATTACCCACTCTGATATATTCTATATAAACTAAGATAAACTTTTTTTGGACATATCAATTAATAAGAAATTATTGTAAAACAATATTATATAAAAATTGGTCAGTACTTTATTTCTATTAGATGTTAATATAATATGACATAATAGGTAATTTAAGTTAAACTATAGTATTTATATTTAGTTTAACATCAAAATGTAATTCCTATTTTTAATTCACTGTAAGTTTATTTAAATATAAAACACATTAATAAATAAATAAAAGTATAAAAATAATTTAATGCAATATTAATTAACTTATTTAAACAGAAGATTTATAGTAAGATTTTTATTATTTAAAAATACAGATTTAGAAAAATATTCATTACAAATGCCATTCTTTAATCATATTTTTTTATTTTGCATATATGATAATGGTAAATGCTAACTAACATATTATAATAATAAATAATTTATAATATTAGAATTCTGAATTTAAAAAAACAATGATTATAAATAAAAAATTATTATATCATTAAAATATTGCTGACTATTTTATTTATTGTCATTTAAATTCTATGATCCAAGTTTTTATAATGAGATAAAAAATAAACCATATAATATAAAAATGAATGTAAAAGGTACGTGATTTCTATTAGATGTTATTAATAATAGAATTATATAATTTTTTCCTAATTATTAGCAGTTATTATTCTAAAATCTTATTAATATCTTATATATAAATTTGTTAATTTAGCCAAGAATAATTATGTCTGATTTTAAGATATCTTATCTAATTAACAGATAAATTGTCTAATCTCTTATAAATTAAGTATTTAAAGAAAAAACAACAAACCTGGTATTATTTGATATATAATGTTGATAAAATAAAAATATTTAATTTGAAAAGAAATCACCAATTTAAAAAATGCCCCCAAGGAAATATAAAATTTTAAATTTAGGTTAATAATTTAAAATTAATTATTTTTAAAACCGTTTTGAACCGGTTTAAACCTGTTCAAAATATTTATAACGGCTCGGTCGCTCTTTTAATATTTTCTTCATAACGGTTCGGTTAAGGTTACGGTTCAGAAAATCATAACGGTTCATTTCGGTTTTGCGGTTCGATTCGGTTCGGTTCGAACCCCTGATATGGATCATAAACCCTTAATACATCTTTTCAAAAAAGATAATAAGGAGTTAATGATGTCGCCTCGGTTGCAAAGGTGGTTACTGCTGGTGGGAAGTTTTGATTTGGAGTTGAAGTATAGGCAGGGAAAAGAGAATCATTTGCCGGACATTATGTCTAGATTAGAAATCATTGATGAGAAACAAGAGGTGAAAATTGATGAAGAAGATGGAGAGGAAGCTCTTATCAGGATGTTAACTAAAGTGTTAAAGGGTAGTCCTACCACCTCGTAATTTAAGAGGAAAAATTTTCGATATTTTACATGCGGGTCATCAGGGAATTACGAAAATGAAACAATGGGGTCGGGAATACATATGGTGGCCAGGTATGAATGAAGAAATTGATAAATTAGGGAAAAATTGTGAGATTTGTAATGCCTGTGCCAATATGCTCCCTAAAGATAAAAATAGTAGTTGGCCGAAAACTAGAGAACCTTGGGAAAGAATTCATTTGGACTTTTTCGAGTGGGAAGGGAAAAAATTTGTTTAAATGGTGGATTCTTTTTCGAAGTGGATAGAATTCGTGGAGGTACATGGGTTATCCACGGGAATTGTAATAAAATTTTGTAAAAAAATATTTTCGAGATTTGGGATACCGAAAGTTATGGTATCGGATGGAGGTCCAGCATTTATTAGTATGGGATTTAAAAATTTTTGTATCAAATTAAATGCGAATCATATAGTTGCACCACCGTACCATCCTAGTTCGAATGGACAGGCGGAAAGGATGGTGGCGATTGTTAAAAGTTGGTTAATGAAAACTACAGATAACCGAAGTGAAATATGGGTATTGCAGTTGTATTATAATAATGCTAAAGGCAAAGATGGTAAATCGCCTGCGGAAAAATTGTTAGGTCGAAAAATAAATATGTTTTTAGATATGTTAAAACCTGGGGAAATTGTGGAGATACAGGAGAAGGAAAATCAGGTGAAATATATAGTGAATCAATTGGTTTGGGTTAGAATGTATGGAAAAGGGAAAAAATGGGAAAAAGGCGCGGTGATAGAGAATTTGATGAGTAAATTATGTTCAGTAGTAATAAAAAATAAAAGTGTAATGAGGCATTGTGATCAATTAAGAAAGAGGGGGAAATAAAGTGGAATAGAATAAAAAATATGTATAGAATTTAGAAATATAGAATAGAATAAAAGGTTATATATAATTTAAATATTTTAAACCATTTTAATTATTAAATTAATTGGAATAGGAATATCTTAGTCTATTTTGAGTATTAAGATATTTGTTCGGGTCATTTCGAGTTATGATTATTAAAATATTTGTTTGGTTCATTTCGAGTTATAATTATTAAAATATTTTTTTGGTTCATTTCGAGTTATGATTATTAAAATATTTGTTCGGTTCATTTCGAGTTATGATTATTAAAATATTTGTTCGGTTCATTTCGAGTTATGATTATTAAAATATTTGTTCGGTTCATTTCGAGTTATGATTATTAAGATATTTGTTTAAGGTTCATGAAAAAAAAACAAACTGAGATATAGTTTGGTATATGTGTATATATATAATTGAATAGTTAGAAGTATGCAAAGGTAAAAGTAAGAATTATCTTAGTATATAGTCGGTATATTAAAATGAGATACATATAACTGAATATGTTGATAGTTCGTTTGGTTTAACAAAAATGTATATAGCAGGTCATCTTTTGTTTTATTAAATATTTGTTCTTAAGGGAAGTGAAGCATATCGTGGTTAATAGTTTTTTTTTTGTGTTAAAAAAAACAGTTGAGAGATAAAAGGAAAAGTTGAAGAGGGGAATTATTTTATAGTAATGTAAATTTTGTTAACTTTTTAAATTGATAGAATGTTGAGATAAGAAATCAATTTATTTGGTAGAAAGAAATTAATTTATATTTAACGTAAAAGTTATTAATTTTATTATTGAAATGAAACATATGCACCGAGAAATAAAAGAGTTGATAAAAAAAGGGATAAATTTAAACAATTTATGAATCATTATTGAAAAAGTGAAATTTATGCAGCAAGAGATAAAAAGTTGAGTTACAGAGGTTTAAAAAGTATATGTTTTGAAATAAATAATGAGGGTGGTGAGTTGATTAAAAAATGTTATTTGTTTATCAAATTAATTGTTTATTGTGAAAATAATAATTAAATATAAGTTGGAATAAATAAGAGAAGTTAATGATGTTTAGTAAATAATTTTATTAATTAAAAATTCGGGAAATTTGTTTGGAAAATTTTTTTTTTAATATGAGTGACCATGAACACGTATTACGTTAACTTAAAATCTAGTATCCTGCAGATCAATGAAGCGCAAAAGGGAACTGCTTTAGCCTGTGCATGGACTGAACTGGCAAATAGGAAGGAGGAACTTGTGAGAAATGGTCAGCCACCAAACCAACCAACGATAAATGTGCAACCATCCTTTCATAGATCAAGGATGAATGTTCAGCAATTGTTCAACAGACCTATATTCCGTTTAACTTGTTTTGCCTGTGGAACAGAAGGACACAAAGCAGCTAACAGTCCCAGCAATACCTATGTTATCAACAATAATGATAATAATCAAAATAAAGTTTTCAATGATTCGAATTTTGCTCATTCTAACACAATTCTGGATCGTTCTAACGTAATCCTGGGGCCTAAGCAAGTACTCCTGAAACATGTTTTGAATAATCGGAAAAATTTTGGAGTGCATAAGACGCTTATGAAGAAACCAATATTGCAAAGGAAAAGACCCGATAGTTTTTCTATTAAGATGAATGTAGCTGAGGAAGTACAACAAGAATTTGCAGAAATGGGTATAACTGAAGTTAATGAATAAAAACGAGCATTTTATAGAAATGTAATATTTTTTTTTATATATATATAGTAACCTGAGAACGCCTCTTAAAAATAAGGGAGGTGTTCATTATTGTTATTAATTTTAAGAAAATAATATTGATTTTTTTTATGTATTGGATATATTTTATTATTATTGATTCATTGTTAGATTTTAGTGTTTGAAAAATAAAAGGTTTTGTTTCTTTCGGTTTGAGTATAATTTTTGTCTTTGGTTTGAGTATAATTCGTTTTCTAGTTCGATAAGTATAATCCCAAAAATACCAAATTTTTCCCACAATTTGAAAATTTTGACCTGGCAACCCTGTGTGTAGGCCAAGCTAACCCCCCCCCTCCCCCATTAAAATATTTTTTACTCTTTAAAATGTTGCCACCACGCGAGTCAGCATTAAGAAAATTATAACTTTAAAATTTATATTTAATATTTCCTTTTATTTTATAAAAAAGTACAGGGGAGGAAAAAGAATAGACAGAGTATATAAAATAAAATTTTCCAATTTATCTAAGCTTAAAAAAATCATAAATACTTTAAAAAAGAAAGATAAAAAGAAATTTTATTTAATTTTACTTTTTTACTCCACCTCTTTTTATACACATTAAAATAATATTAATTTTTTCTCCAAGATAATAAATTAAATAAAAAAATAATAAAATCGAATATAAACAATTTTTTTGCCAAGACTTAAGCTTTAGTTACATTTTAAATTTGTAAACCTTTTACAGATCTTTAAATGAAGTTGAAATTTTTTTAACGCCATTTTATAAATTAACGTTGGAAATATTATCAGACTGTTAATTTCTAAATTAATGTTTTCTAGTTTTAAATTAACTATATCTTACCGATAAAATTTTATTTTTTATGATAATGTTATTTTATACATTCGTATAAGATTAATATTCATCATGACTAGGCACCTTAACTTATAGACCCAAATAGTATGATAAAGGTATATAAATTTGATGTTAGAAAAAAACTATGAGAAGCAAAATATAATTTTTTCCGATTACAAAGTGAAGTTAAGAATATATAACGTAGGGAAAATCTATCAAGTCATATGTATTTTACTGATTACATAATATTTAGTTTAAAATACAATATCTAAAATGAAATTTTTTTTAACTAAATAATTAATAGCTATTTTGTATTTAGAAGATATAGTTTTTATTTTCTTACCCTTTTCCCCTTCACACCCATAACTATACATCACTCTAGAACTACGAATTGGATAGGGCGTAATTCCACTCATTTTGATAAATATACATATGTACAAGTGTTGGTATCCCTGAGAAAAAAAATTTAGCAAAATTATAGGGAGGGTGGGCCTCCTTATAATTCACATTCGCTTACTTTCGGCAGATCTATGACCAATGTTATAGATAAGATAAGAAGATATAAAAATTTATAATTTAATAAATAAATTAAAAAAAAACATCTTTCTAATATCAAAAACAATGAACCCGGATTAAAACACTAGTTTAATTTTCTATATATTCAACAAATTGACCCAGCAAGCCAACCAAACAAGCCAACCCAGCAGGTCGAACCAGCAATCGACCCAGCAGGCCGGCCCAGCAAGTCGACCCAGCAGGCCGACCCAGCAGGCCGACCCAGCCGACCCAGCAGGCCGACCCAGCCGACCCAGCAGGCCGACCCAGTCGACCCAGCAAGTCGACCCAGCAAGTCGACCCAGCAAGTCGACCCAGCAGGCCGACCCAACAAGTCGACCCAGCAGGCCGATCCAGCAAGTTGACCCAGCAGGCCGACCCAGTATGCCAACCTGGGTCGGTTCAACAGGCCCATTTAATCGGGCTGGGTCGTGGTCGATTTTTCGACCCTGGCTATGGGTTTGGCGAATTTTTACGACTTCGACTCGGGGTCGTGGTCGAAAAAAACCAACTTTAACAACACTAACGTTTAGGTCCAAGCCAATGTAATTTTATGTTATAATAACTAATTTAAATAACTATTCTTCTATTTATAATTATATGACTCAAGAGTGTATTAATGACAATATTGAATAATATTAAAACTATTTTTATTAATCTCAAGTCTTAACCTTAACCCCCTTAACTCTAACCCATATCTCGCATAATCAATCTTCTTATATCAGATATTTGTTCACTCCTAAATAGATTCCACCCAAATCAAAAAATCAAAATAAAATATAAAAATGGTCATTCTATATTGTTTTCCAGTATTAAAGTTTAAACATATGTGTTAGCTGTCCATGATCGTAATCTGACAGGTAATATGAATAGTAATATGACAAGCCATATTTTTCAAATCTATTTTTTTTATACAATATAGTGAACATATTTGAACGCACATGTCAGGAATCTTTAGCAGTAAAGCTAAAAAATTTAAAGTTATAAGTAATGAATTGGACAATCTTCAAATTAAAGATTATGAAACCTACGACGAAGTTCTAAATCTTCTAAATTTGCAAGTTTATAATTTTTTTTAGAATATTTACTATAATATTTTTAAAAGATTGAGGAAGTATGCCAACAAAACAAAAATTATAAATATAATATTCAAATTCAAGAGATTCTTAATTTATTTATTAAAATTCTTCAAAATATTCCAGAATCGGGGATTGATGAGGTATACCTATACATATATTTTAATAATTAATCATAAACAGCAAAACTATTGGGAAAATATTAACAACAAATTGGATATTTTTTACACAAAAATTGCTAAATTTGATATCTTGTTTAAGCCTCCACAAGTTATTGAGTTAATAGGGAGCTACACAAATTATACATTTATAAAATCTGATCTAACAATCGATATTTTAACAAAAATGCCCTCAGTAATTATTTATTTATGTTAATTATATTATATAAAAATATAGGAATGTTTTAAAGAAAATGATAAATTAAATTATCAATACTTTTTAAAAAGAATGAGTTATATTTCTTATATGGGTTCACAATTGTGTCAAAAATTAGATCTTAATAAAAAATTTAAAAATATATCTTGTAAATTTTATATAGAAGTTGGAGGGTTAAATAATGATGGGTGCTTGCAATTCTTACCTTTATTGACCATTAAAATGATTGATAATAGCACCAGCAATAACTTATTAACAAAATCTCAGCATTTTCCAACATTTAGGATAATTGTTTTGCCTGATTTAATCAAAACTGATAAAACCATGCAATCAGAGCTATTTAGTAATATGAAAAAATTTAAAATTATCTGCTTCAATCCAAATAAGTGCAATATAAAGGATGACAATTTAACATCAAGCCCATATTATAATTCAATAATATCAAATCAAATATGCTCAACAATCAAATTATTTGATCTCACTGATATTATTAGTAATGCTGGTGATAAAACATATCCAGTTATTGATGCTCTAATTTTATTAAAATTATGGGCAAAGAGTAGATATATCTTGAATTATGATGATAAATTTAATAATTCTTTTAATTTGGGTCACATCTTTTATATTTTTATGATTTGGCTATATAAAACTCAAAAGATAAATCAAAATATGACACCCTTTCAAATTTTCAAACTTGCATTGTTCTATATAAGTAAATTTATGATAATTTAATTAATATATTGTTGAAAACAAATTTTATTATAATTTATTCATAATGAAATTTTATTTTAGACTCTCAAGACTGGACAAAGTGTGGATTGCATTTTTATGAATCAAATGCCAAATCTATCTTACTTTCTGAAGAAAAAATTAAACTTTTCCATTCACATTTTGATGTAGTGTTTTTAGATCCCACAGGCAACTATAATATTTGCTGGAACTTTACTAAATTTGACTATTATTGGGTTGCCATAATATATTTTAAATTTCATTAACTCTTCATATTACTAGATGAGTTATTTTTCTTAAAGTTCAGCAAAAATAATTTATTTATACCACACCCAATAAGAAGTATATAATCAGTTGTTAAACTTAAATAGTATGTTTATATAGTAGTACTTGAAAATGATCATTAGCAGACTAATAATTTTTTAGATCAAATTCATAATTATATTGATTACATCATTTAAAAATTTTTATATAAAAGATAAAATACGAAGTTGAGTTAACTCTGGAACAATTAAATATATCAGTTCACCCTGAACCATTTCATTGGCTATTCATGACCCAGAGACCATTTGAATTATCCTTTGATCATATACTAAGGTTTTTTTATTTTTAAAAATGATATATAATTTTTTTTATACTACATTTGCTTGCACAATGTTTCTTACAATAGCTTTTAAATGTTTTTTTTTATTTACAATAATGTTTCTTGTATTTAAGTTTTGAATTTTAGGACTCTTGAATAATGTCCATAAGCTTTGTTACCTATGAAATTTATATCATGAGTAAGATCAGGGTTGCCAGATTTATTCAAATAAAAATTGGGAGAAATTATCATAAAAATTTTATAGCAAATAATATTAATTTTTTTTCCTGGCAATTATTTCTTTATTTAAATGAATATATCTAATACACAATAGTAAAATAAAGAAAGATCGTATATTATTTTAAATATAAAATACATACGTATACATCAAAATATTTAAAAAATCAATACATATTATTTTTTTCATTCATATATTTCATAAAATTTTATATTAAATAAATTTTTATATTTTGTTACATATTCCTTAAAATCTTTACAAGTATAATTAAAATAATTCTTCATCGAATTCCGCTTATTAAACTAATAAAGATAGATTACGATCTTTGCTCCAGAAATGAATTAAACTAAATATACACTCTGAAACAGCGTTTGTGGTAACGAAAATATAATGTATATTTTTTCAAAATTGTTATTTTGTTTTATAAATGCAGGGGTTCGAAGTGAACCCGAACTTGGAGAAGAAAACCCAGGTTATTGGGAGAAAAATTTGAACCTGAACCGAACCTGAACCCTTTTATAAAATTATAAAACGAACCGAACCCGAGATTATTTAAGGTTTCAACTGGGTTCAATGTTTTGTTTAAATTAATATATTTGTATAATTGTAAATACAAATATTAATAATTTACTTGACATTTTATAATATTTTCAAATTTCCAATTAAGTGAAGTGTTAATAAATTTTAAAAAACTTAATTCATTTACTCCATTTTTAAATTTTTTAAAATTTATTCTCAAAGATTCCTATTGGATTGCTAATAAATTTTAAACAATTAAATTCATTTACGCCATTATTTTTAATTTTTAACTTATTCTCAAAGATTATTAATTAGAGGAAAATGAAAGTGAACAAGTCAAAGTAAAAATTATTATTTTGGATATTGTTAATTTAAAGAAATACGTCAAAATAAAATTTTTTAAATCTATACATGACTATGCTTTGTATTTTTAACTATATTTTGCCTATAAATAAAATAAAAAAATTTTTTTTTTACCAAATTTATATCTAGTTTTTTTAATTATGATTTAAATATAGAATTTTTTTTTATCAATTCAAAAATTTAAACCCGAGCTGAACCTGGATTTAAAAATATTTCCCTGAACCGAACCCCAACAGAACCCACCTATTTTTTTAACCTTAAACCGAACCGAACCTGGCCAAATGCCGGGTTCGCACCCTGTATAAATGTATTTAAAGCAATGAATTCCTAAAATAATTCACCCAATTCGATATCTTATATATTAAGTTTGATTATTATTAATTCAACTTCCTCGAATTTTAATTTATTATCAAGCATCATAATTCTTAGATTTCCCCATTTATTTGTAAATACCTATTTTTAAAAAAAATATGAAATGATTTTTTTAAAATAAATTTATTAGCTTTATTTTGAATTGATATGATTTTATCATGATCATCACATTTTATAAGATTTTATCTTACAACCGAGTATACCTAAAACGAATTATTTGTTATTCGATTCGATTCGTATTTTACGAATACGAATAACACAATTATTCGATTCGAAAATTCGAATCGAATTCGAATAAGGAAAATATATTATTCGTCGAATAATTTTTTATCTATTAGATTATTCGACTAAAATAATTTATAGTATTAATATATATTGGAAAATAATCATATATAAATCATATATTATTATTAGGAATTATTTGAAATTATTTCAATTTAATAAAATCTCCTAGTGGAATAATGAATATTGCCCCAAATTTTGAAACTCCATTTTAATTTATCTCATAATAGACCATTACTTTAGAAATTTCTTTTATGATAGAGATGGACGAAGAAGGTAATTTATATAACACATAACATATACAATTATAATAAACTGTTAATCCCATCACATCAAGAATGACGGGCAAACCGAATATTTCTCTTTCATTTGATGATGGAGAAATCATAAATTTGACTTTTTGCCTAAAGTTTTTACCACTTTATTTGTAAAATATTGCTAATGCCGTGTTATCTAAAATGGCGAGGGACATATTGTCGATACAGAAATCTTCAACCCCATGTGAGCGACTCTTTTCTGTTGGAGCTCATATGGTTACAAAATACAGAATGTCGTTAAAGGAGGAAACAATCCGAAAAACTTTATGTTTGAAAAATTGGCTGTTGTCAGATTTATCTTCTACATTATAGATATGAATATTATATTGATTTTTCCACATTTTATATAAATATATTATATATGTATCTTCTATTTTGTCTCACTAATAAAATTTGTTTGTCTTTATCCTTAGTTAAATTTTACAAAATAAATTTTATAATAGATCTTTTTTAATTCATGGTAAATAAAATTTTCGAATCGAATCGAATAATCATTTTATTATTCATACGAATACGAATAATAAATTATTCGATTTAAACGAATAATTCGAATATACAAATAATGGAATTATTCGATTCGATTCGTATTTTTGTAGGTATACAACCGAGCCATAAAAATTATTGACAGCATTTAAAGTTGTAACTAATTTATTCAAGTGATCTCCACTGCAATTGAATTTTCGGATTCCAATTTTTTAACCTCGTATTTAAGGTCTCTATATTAATAACTAGACCAACTCATTTTCAAAAAATAATTTTAATATTGAATTGGGATTTTTTTGGGATAAAAAATAAGATATAACAACTAAATAATTTTTATAAAGTCTTTCGAAATCCAATATTAATGATAGCCATTTTCTTATAACATTTCATAAAAGTTCGGACCATTCAAACTTGAGAATCCATAGTTTTTTTTTAAAAATATCCCACCCTGTTTTTGGTTTTGCTGAATTCAGCATTGTTGTGATTGACGACAATATTTCAGTTTATCATCGTTGGTAAGCATTACTTGATTATATTGTATATTTTTAGTCGCGATAATTTTTTATTTATAGATTTATAAAATATATATATTTTTTTTAATAATGTGCTTCATGATTTTTAGATTATTTTTAGTTTATTTTTAGTTTTACTTTATTTATAATTATGATTCAAGCGTGATTATGACATATAATTTTTAAAAAATGTATTTTTAACTTATTATTTTTCTTGATTATTTTTTACAATTAGTAGCTTCCCTATAAAAGGGAAGCAAATTGAAATATAAAATTAATTCATTTTTTTTCCTTTTTAAAATTTTCGCTAAAGAGTATCGTTTCAATAAAAGATTATTAATATTTTTGTCTGATTGTGTTAGGTACATTCTAGAGAAATTATGTTAGAATTATTAAGTTATATTTTATATTTAGATTTAGATTTATAAAATTTGATTTTTGTAAAGTCATTATTTATTGCGATTTTTGAGTTATTTTTATTTTATATAATTTTATTTTTAGATTTACCGTTATTTATAACGTTCAGTTTGGTTACGGTTCAGTATGTAAAATATTATAATGATTACGTTTTGGTTACGGTTCTTAAGAAAAAATTTACAAAGGTTCGGTTCAGCTAATTATAAAGGTTCATAATGGTTCATTACGTTTAGAATTTTTTTTTTTTATTGAAGCATCACCATCGTCTAATTTATTTATATTATAAGAATCTATGAATTGTATATAAAAAAATATATAAAATTCAAAATAACTCATTTTTAAATATATTATAAGTAATATATTTTCTAATATAAATGGATTCATATTTGTTTGTTGTGACGATAACACAAATTTTAGCCCCGTAAAGGCCCTTTCTACAGAAACTTGTGTTGCGGGAACCGCCAGTACTATAAGAGCAAGTTTATATAATTCTGGATATTCAAATTTTTTTGATTCCTAAAATATAAAAACTGAACCGATTTAACCTTTTTTTATAAAGGTTCTTTTTACTAGTATTGTTAAACGGCTCGTTTTGAGCCGATTTTTAAAAACGGCTAACTCAATATTTTAGCCAGAAAAATATTGCCTAAGCCTCAAGATTTCGATAATATATGTATAAACCTTTGTTCCTTCCATGAGCAAAATCTTCAGGCTTAGGTAATATTTTTCTGAATGAATTATTGAGTTAGCCGTTTTTAAAAATCGGCTCAAAATGAGCCGTTTAACAACACTACTTTTTACTCCTTCAAAAAATAATTATAACGGTTCGATTACGGTTACGGTTCTGATATTTATAACGGTTTATAATGGTTTAACGGTTCATTACGGTTCACTCCGGGTCCCTGATAATAATGATGCTTCATGATTTTTGGATTATTGACTATTAGTTGTCCGCCCCTTTCTCTAGAATGTACTCCCAATACAATCACACAAAAATATTAATAATCTTTTATTGAAACGATACTCTTTACCTTTAGCGAAAATAATTTTAAATTATAAAAATTAATTTTAAAAAGGAAAAAAAAATGAATTTTACATTTCAATTTGCTTCTCTTTTATAGGGAAGTTACTAATTATAAAAAAATAATAAGTTAAAAATACACTTTTTAAAAATTATAAATATCATAATAACGTTTGAAATCATAACTATAAACTAAAAATAATCCAAAAATCATAAAGCATCATTATAATACAAAAAATAAATTTTATAAATTTGAAAATAAAATATAATCACGATAAAACTAAAATGCTTACCAACGATGATAAGCTGAAATATTCATCGTTAACATTTCATAGCAAATATAATGTCTATTGATAATGAAGCATGCCTCTTTCATCCTGCTTTGTAAATTGTATGGTGCAGGCGACCAATGGGGTATTCATTCAAAACTAATAATTCAGTCATTACACTTTGCCCTTTTCCGAAATTCACATCCGTTCGGCACAAATCGCTGTTACATTTGATAGTGAAAGGTTATAATCTTCAAGGTTCTGCACAAGTATAGGCGCAATATCATTTGATTTCTCCGAGTCCGATGAATTTTTTTTTAGTAGTTTACTTAAAATATTTTTTATTTATTAAAATAGCGCACCATTGTTGGGAATTTTTTTTAGTATTTTCATTATTTTATACATCCGTTAATAGTGAAAATGGATGATTTTTTTTCAAATCTTCTAAATCTATTTTTTAGTTTCAGGACCTAGGATATATAACATTAGAAATCCGTAGATAAATAACTAAGCGAATGTTTTATCAATCATGTGATAGATGAATGTCGTTTCGGCTACTATAGTATTATCTGATTATTCCATATTTTTAAATTATATATAAGTTTTTGCTTTGTTGAATTTTTCTTAATATCATGGAGTCATCCATGGCTGATATTAAATTTTTTATGGCATATTATACAAATTGTATTCTTCTCTGACCCATGAATAAATGGAATTCCGGGTTTTTGGATGTTAAGCTTGTCTTTAAACTGTAATTTTTAATTTATATCATTTAAATTAATGTGAATAAAATTGGGAAAGAAATGAAATGTCAGGAGTAACTTTATTTAAGTAATGAAAAATTACTAGGCTTAAAATTTTAAATAAGAAATTACTTTAAACTTCTAAAGTATCATTTTATATAGATTGATTTCTAAAAATTATATAGTCATCAGTATCAGAGGAAGTTATTATTATATGATTTATCATAACAATTTGTTTTAAAATGAAAAGATATTTAATATTATTATTATATTTCAAATTGGAAAGTTTTTTACCTTTCTTAAAATATGGATAAAAAAATAAATATAACAAGATGCCTTTTTAAATGCATGATTGAATTAAAATCAAAAGTGGTAGCTTAAGTTTCTGGTTAAGCTATTTTTAATTATTTTATATTTTAAAATATTTTTAAAAATAAATAGGAGAATTTTTTTAGGAAAATTGGGAGGGAGCGTAAATATTTGAGGGCATGTTTTGGCGACTAAAGTAAAAAATCAGGTAGTCTGGCAACCCTGGTGAACACTAGGAAATAAATTCATGTACATACATTAAAAAATTATTATATATTTAAATTTGAGTATATGATATTAAAAATGAATATGATAAAACATTTTGAATAATAAATTAATTTATATTGTTTTTAGTATTAAGGAATTATTTTTGCGCTCCTATTAGACATTTATATTCCAGTGCTAGTGTAAATCATATGATAGAATATTTATCTAATTTTGATTTATTTTTAAGTAAATTGATAAATCGCCATATTAAATGATTTTCCCTGAAAAGAATTTCGGTTCCTGTAAACAAATACAAAGATAGGATAAAAGGCAAAAATATATTGAATCCTGCTATAATCGACGAAGACAATGGTCATATATACAGAGCCCTGAAACTCAAAATTCTTTCGATTATTCATCAGGGATTGAAAGATTTTGTTAAATTGATAGTTCTTAAGCCCGAACCATTTATTCAGGTTTAAAAAAAATGTAAATGGTCTAAATTGAGTTAGGGTCAATTATTTTTTATTCAAGGTAGTTATAATGTTTTGATTAGCTATTATTTTTTACTTAAATAATTATATTCCGGTTGTTTTTTAAAAAAAATATGTATTATATAATAGTATATTCATGTCTTCATCCATAATTTTCTTAAAATGCCATATCCCATTCTTTAATAAATTTAAAACATAGATATAATATATATACTAATTTTCCATTGAGTCTCGCAATTATGATATTATTTATTATACCCGAATAATACCACCAAATCCTGATTATAAATAAATATTTTCTTTAAAAAAATTATTTCCCTGAAATTCAGATACCTCTAAATACAAGCGACACATTTAATAACAACGATTTTTGGGCCGGCATTGATTGTAGCAACATCAAACTGACTTTCGGCATATTGCTTAAACCCCCTAACGATGCCTCATTTACAAAATCTTCTAACGTTTTCGTCATAAAGGGCCCTCAGATAGACTCTGACCCTAAGGTAAATTATATTATGCAAAGATACAATATAATTTAAATATCATTAAGTGATATTAATCGGAATTTTGAGGCCACTTAGGCTTCTCTGGTCATTTATCTCAGTGATTTTTAACCGAAATATTAGATCAATCAGAATCCAAGTAAATTTTTATATATAGGACAGAAATATGAGTGTAAGAAAATATATCCATCTAGTATAACATTCATTCATGGTTAAATCTTATTTTTTTTACACTCCTTTTAAAATATTCTGAATCACAAATGTTGCAGGTGGCTGCAAGCTTTAGTTGAAGTTGTGTATAGAAGTTGATTAAATTATTATCGATGTTAACTAAAACTCTCAATTAGAATTATTATTATATTGGAATCTAAATAAAGAAAGAATAAAATATATTTAAATAAATTAGGATAAACAAATATATAATATAACAAAGAATAAAAAAACTTTACAACTAGAGAAAATCACTTTATTCGATAAAGAATCCAAATTATATTAAAAAAATTTATTAATCATATTATGTGTTTTATTTCACTTTTTAAAGCGATATATATAATAATTGTTTTACAATTAATTTGAATATATGAAAATATATAAAATAATATTATGTTAATTTTAAGTTCATTCAAAAAAATAATTCCCCCCAAAAAAATATTATATTCGTTTTCAGTTTATTTATGAATAATAACTTCCAAAAATTAACATTCTAATTTCTCAAAATGTATTTGCATATACAACAACATATTGTTATTATTTATATAAATTTTATAAAAGGGTTTAATAAAGTTTAAATTTAAAAAAATCATCCTATCTCATGGGAAAAAAACTAGGAAGAAAAGAATTTTATAGATTTTTGGGGTATTGAGTTGTGCTCAACACGCAAATTTTCTGATGGAACCGTTAAAAGAGCCATAGTTTTCGATTCAAGCTCCGGGATTGTCAACGGTTTTGATAAGCGCACATATCCTTATTACAGAATCGTATGCCATTTGCTTAAACGGTGACTTGATTTTTTTAAGAAAAACTTTTTTTAAACAATTTCGAAAAATTCTTAAGTAAAGTTAGATATTTTAAAATAAAAAGTAGCAATGTTTTTTTGTTAAAATTTCTATAAGCATCTATTCTTTTTTTGTTATCAAATTTGTTGTTTTACTTAAAAAAACTATAAAAGATATGTCAGGAAGTCATGTCATTGAAAATGCACACACACGAAAAAATTAATAAAAATTTATTTAAGCGATTAAAAACATTTTCGCATATTTTGTTTTATTATATCCTAATTTGTTACTGTCTAAGACTAAAATAAAATCAAAATACTTATTTTCCTTACGTTAAAGACATTGCGGTTTCGATATGCTGTACCCTCTCAAAAACTATGTTGATTATAATCAATCTCGGTTTCAAATACAAAGAATGGGTCTAACTTTGAAATTTATCAAAAAATTTACCTCCAAAGTTCTTGGATTTAAACATAACTCTATAAAGGAAATCGCAACAACTCGTAAATTTAAATTTATATAGACAATTCTTTTTGCAATGACCGTGGGTTTTTGGTTGATTTGACAATTTATAAAAGTTGAGAGATAATTATATTACGCCTGTGAATATTACACTTTATTTATTTAATCAAACATGTATCATTATTGATAAAAAAGGAGTAAAAGAACGTTATATAAACGAATTTTATCCTTCTCCGAATATATATAATATTGATTTTGATTAACAAAAAAAACATAAATTGTCAAAATAAACATATAAATATCTTTTCTTTTATATATATTATTATTAATCTTGTTAATATCGTTTTCCAAAAAACATCACCTATACGAATCAATATCAAGCCTATTCCAAAAGTAATGATTTATTTAAACGGATCAAAAAAGACAATTATGGAACCGGAGAATCTAATTTTTTGCCTATTATTAAAGCCACTGATTCCTTGTGCAAAATATTGATGGAAGATTTGAGGAATCAATTGCCATTGGGAATTTGCAACGTGCTGGGTGGTTACGATTCCATTTTTAGAAGAACCGAGGTTGCCACAATTTATCAAATTACGATAATTTCCTCTAAACATATTTTCATCATATATTTTAAAGTCTCTTTTTGGCTATAAATTTGCCTCTCTTTTTATTTGTATTTTGATATGAATAATATATTGACAATCTTCCCTTTTCTTAGGCCTTTTCGCACATGGATATTCATGGAGATAGACCAGCCTTTATTATGACTGTGAATAGCTTGCTTAGTTATATAGTGGCCATCATTTTTTATTGGTTCCCCTTTTTTTATAATGATGGCATTGAGATTTGGGTTTCATTAATACTTTGATTGCAAAGGAGATTCCCTTTGTTCTCATTACCATTATTGGTGACCCTTTTTCTTATCCCTATATTATAAGGTCTTGTTCTTCTCGTTTGGTTAACTTTTAAACAAACTTAAGGATTTTTAATAACAAATTTTTTGCTGATTTATTAACTTGAGTATTTTTTGTGTTCCGCCCCTTTCTCATTTTTTTAATGGCATACGCATACCCTTTACATGCTTAATAATTATTTACCTGTTTATAATAGTTGGTGTTTGTAGTATGAAGATTTTTATACATTTCAATTTTCTGTATGTCCACATATACTTTCACCACCCTTTGGCTGTAAGTAGTAACACATTTATTTATGTTCGAATTGCATGCCATAGGGGACTCCAGACATGACGTTTTTTTTCATCAAATCGGTAAAAAAATAAAAGATATTCTAATGGAGATTTCATGTATAATATAATTTTCTTTTTTCGTTAGCAAGTATAATGACATGACCTTAACAACTTACTTAAGGTGCCATTCATCTTTAAAAAATATAATGCTTTAATTTGCTTTTATTTTAACTCGTGTTATTTGAAAGTTTTCTATATAATTACACTAATTATTTTTTCTTCTAGGTTTTTCCACCTTTACCTCTAATAAAGCCCGGTAAATCCCTTTATAAAATTAACGCTGAAAGAAAAACTACAGGTACAAATGCACCCAATGATAGACCAATTAAAAAAATTGGCTATCCTTTCAAATTTAGAAAATATCCTACTTTTCAAAGCAAAAAACAACCCACGTATATAAACTACACTCTATTAACACTATGGCCGGAATCTACCCACAAATGGCCTATAAAACTCACGAATGAAACCCTTAATGTTAAAATTAAGACTAAATTCAGTTCATATTATAGAAGCGAAGAGAAAATGGATAAAAATCTGAAAATAACACGGAAACAAAAAGACTTAAACGAATATATCAGAGGTTTTTAAATTATCAATTCTTTAAAAAAACTTAGATTTATTTAATAATTAATCAACATATTTTATGTTCCTGCAGTTTAAATAAATCATTCCATTAGGCTATTCCATGTAAATCGTGCGATTGCCCAGACCTCTTGGAATTTGGGTCAAATTTTGTGAACCTACTAAGGTACACTTAATTAAAGCAATGTTAAAATTTTAGCATCCTGGTTCTTATATTTTTGGAGATTCAAGGTCAAGTCAAAGTATAAAAAATGACAAATTTTTACACTTAATCGAGTGTCATTTAAAAAAATACATATTTTAAAAAATAATAAGTTTCTCCGATTTCTATAAAATTTTAGGCAAACGTCAGTGAGTCTATATAAAAAGATTGTAATGCCGGTTTTCATTTTCTTGGGAAAATTCGATGAAAACACTAAAAAAACAATATGATATTTTTATAGTACATATGCAAATTTTTAGATTTTACAAAAATTAAAAAATAATTCAATTTACTGTTTATTTTCTTACCAATAAAGATTAAAATATTACAAAATATGTGTTATACATTCTCTACTAATATATCGATAATAGCTCAACTCAAGGAAGGTTCAACTGAGAGAAATTTTTTAAATTAAACAAGTATCTGAAGTAAGTAGTAGGATCAAAAGTTTGAGAGGTATGGGTTAGAGTTAATATAAAAAGTTTGAGAGATATGGGTTAAGGGTTTACATAGATTAAAGATGGTTTTAAATAAAATTTAATCATTTTTTTGACAAGTCTTTTCATTTTAAACAGACAAATTTTTAAATGAATCAGCTGTTATAATGGCAATTTCCTTGAGTTGGACCATAATTAATAAATTATATAAGAACATTAAACAGTATTCAGTCACTCAAACAAAACTTTTCCAAAGCGGTTACCTAGGCATTTTCAGCATTTTTTTTTAAAAATTTCCAAACAAAGGACAATAATTTATAGAATTAATTTTTTTGCATATTATAAATTAGCCGCCACCATTTAATCGATTAACTATTTTACATAAGAGACTGAGTGTCTTGCCGATGCTAATTTTTTTTAAAAAAATATTTTATGCAAAAAAAATTAAATTTGACAAATTACTCTCCTGCTAAAAAAATCTTTGTTTTTAATGCTTTTATTGATTTTTACAATGCAAACAAAAACTTGGCATTCCTATTTTTTATACAGATATTGATTGGTTTTAGTGAAAATTTGCTTAAAGTTTTATAATAATCGGGAAAATTCATTATTTTTTAAAAGGATTATGAACTTAGAATGGGGTTAATTGGACAACAACATTTAAAAAAAATGTTATTTTTTAAAAAAATTATGGATTGTATACATTTTATTTTGATATGTGAATCATTAGTTATAATTATGTAGTTTTTGGTAAATATTTATTTGAGAGTTTTTAAACAGATGAATTTTAACCAATTTTATATTAAGATTTTACCTAAAATAATATTACACAAACCTCGAGATTTCGTTAATAGATATCTAAACCTTTCTGCCAACTGTGAGAAAATCTCCTGGCATATGTATATTTTTTGACTAAAATATTGGGTTAGCCGTTTTTGAAAATCTAGCCATTTAACAGCACTAATTTGAATGACAATCTATATATAATCTTAAAAATATGTTATTTTTTATATTATAACTATGCCGTTAAACTAGCAATTAAAATAGCGTGCTGCATTTTTAAGTAGCGATCGGTAACGATTTTTTTTTGAGAAGCTATATTAAAATTAGCTACCTTAAAATTTTTTTTGAATTAATATGTTAAAATTATGAGTATAATTAATTTTAATTATTTTATTTATAATTTGAGTAAATAAAAAGATATATTTAAAAGAATTAAATTTATTCAAATAATTTCACTTCTTGCACTCATTTATTTAAATTTCGAAATCAAAATTATGACATCTTTATGCTCCTGACATTTTAAATAAACTAATTCATAGATTAGTCCAGATTAAAGAGTTCCCTCTTTTAAAACCATCTTCGTATACCTCTATCCCATCCAGTTCTCCATTTGAAAGATTATTTAGTTTAGCCAAGGGTGTTTTTGGTAAAAAAAAGTTCTTTGTTAGAAGAAAATTTTGAGAGACATCTTCTCTTAAAGAAAATTTACATTTTTAAAGTAGCGTTATTAGCATTGATTTTGACCTTTGATATTTATTAAAATACGGAGATAAAAGTTAGGATGATGTGGAATTTCTTTATTTACATGGAACCTTAGTCTGTGAACAAAATATCACCCCAAATCCCAGAGTTTTTTAAAAAAGGTTATATATAAAATTAAATTAATTCCATTCATAAAAATTATTTTTCGATAAAATTTACCAGAACCTATGACCTATGCCGGTGCATTGTCAAGACTCATAATAGCTTTCTTAATCGAACTCAAACGGCATTTAGCCCACAAGGTTGATCGTTGTTTTTTAGTCAAATCTCACCATTTAAATAATTTGTCACGAAATGGAAATAGCCAATATCACTTGGAAGTCATGCATTCTGGATATGCATTTAAGCTTTATTTCGTATGCCCACCTCAATTAAGACTAACCACCAATCTATTCGAAGGGTTAAATGTCGTTCAACGCTTGTCCAAAGCCATATTAGCAGTAAAATCTCTTTTTTTATTGATTAATAATTTTACCCTAATCCTTAGATTTTTATAGTCTTGATAATCATATTCTGAAAGATATTTTTCTTTGATTCAGTTAAAATATTTACTGCCCTGAATTTTCAACTTGCTACTATTATTGTATTACATCTATTCCTTTATTACAATATAAATTTTATACAAAATAAATATCTTGCGATGAAAAAACACGAATAAAAATACTACAGTTAAAAATAATAAATAAATAATTATTCAATTTAATAAAGATAATATGAGAATCAAACATTAAAAAGTTTTATTGACAAAAATCACCTTCAAAAAAAAGGAACGTGTTCACGTTCGTTCAAAATTTTATGTAAAATTTTTTTTATTTAATATTTAAATAAATATATATAAATTATTTTTTAACACAATATAATATAAATGAATAAAAAAATATTTATTTATAAAAATAATTTCATATTAATTTTTAATATATAAAAACCTTTTTATATCATATAAAATTTAATTATTTATTAAATATATAAATTTAAAATACTTTAAATTGTGTTCGACAATTAAAATATAAAATCCTTGATAAAAACTTAAAAATAATAGGGATTAGATTATAATTTCAAAGAATTACCCTAAAAATAAATAAATAAATTCTAAAAGATTTCAACTATTTTATATCTATGTTATTTAATATATTACATTACATTTAATGATTTTTGCTTTATGTAGTATCTTATTATGTTAATCATAATAATTTGACAAGTATGAAATATAACTATCTAAAGTAAATTATTAACGAGTTACTTTAATAAATATTACTATCAAGTAATGTCGTACGCGTTCGTGAATGAAGTTCGATTTTTTTAAAAAAATGATGAACGGCGTTCTCTTTATTCTTGACGAATTTTAAGCGTGAACGCTTTCCTTTTTTATGACGAACGCGTTCGAATTTAATCGTTCAATTTTAAAAACACTTTTTATTTTTATTTATTTGGAAAATTTAATATTAATCCGAATTTTTTAAGAAAAATGTCTTATATTTTATAATTAACTCTTTTTTCTTTTTCACATCAATTTTTTTAACACGCCATTATTATAGTTTATTAATTTGAATATTATTGTTTATATTTTAATTTAATAGATTAGCATAAGCTTGGATATTATTATTTCATCACCATCATCTGATTTGAAAATTCAAAATCGGACAAATTAACATTACCATAGCCCAAATATGATAAATATTTTACAGTAGCATCCTATATTGAAGGAAATAATTCAATATTTACCAAATGTAAAATGTGCCCCAAAAGTATAATATCATTTCAAAATCTTCAAGTTCCTATTTATAACGACATTTGATTATAATATTAATTATTTTGTTTTATATAATATAACTAAGTAAAATCATTAAATTTGAAGATAGAATGCATTTGGGCTATTTGACACCAACAATAACGATAATTATTTTAAAATTAAAAAAATTAGTGGCCTAAGATATGATTAACCATTTAGACGCAGTATTAAATGAGATTAATAAAAGGTATTAAACCTATCACTATCAAATTATATCATATATTTTATTTTTTAAGATTTGAACATATATATGAAGATCAATATGTTCTTTCTGCAATTATACCTACGGTATTTAAGCTTTAAGGGTCATGGATAAAACTTCCACAGAACGAACCAATAAAGAATAAAATTATAGCGTTTTTCTAAAAATGCATTCAAAACCCTAGAAATGAAAATGCAAGAACTGTTAATTTCGAGATATCCTTTTTTTTGACGAGGAAGTAAGTATAGGATGGATTGGAGGAGGATAGCTTATCTCGATTTTTTGAAGCATAAGACAAAACAATAAATGTTTTTAATAAATTCCCCACGTTAAAAGAGTTGTTTATTATGTATGATACCGCAATCCACTTATCTGCCCATGTAAAGCTCTTTTTTTTAGTATAGCTAATGCCGTAAGCTTTCCTGTCTATCAGATGGAAATTTTTAAAAATAATTGTTATTGAAAATTAATAAGAAAATTTTTTTATATACAAAAATATCTTTTTATTCTCTATATTATATTGTATTTATAATTATTTTATCAAAATAAAACTATATTATTTTTTAACATGGCTAATATATTGTGTTAAAACATATAAGATATTTTTATATTAAATTAAATTAAAAAAAAATTTATCATAAAATTTTTAACGAACGTGAACGCTTTCCTTTTTATTGAAAGCGAACGTGAACACGTTCGATTTTGGTCAATGAACGTTGAACGCGTTCTATTTTTTAGAAATGTTTACAGCACCACTATCAAGTATTTTTTTAAATTAGAACCTAGAGATTTTGAAGTTTTTTTTGGACACATTTTGCATTTGGTAAGGATAGAATTAATGAATTAATTCCCCGAATATAGGATGTTACTGTAAAGTATTTATTATATTTGAGCTATGGCAATATTCAGAATCGGATGATGATATAACAACATCCGTACTTATGTTAATCTATAAAATATAAATAATAATATTTATTATATTTACAACTTTTTTACATATTTTTTTTTATTTGCTCCTATTTTAATAAAATAATTTTTTGAGAGATGTTTTAATATTGAAAGAACTGATTGATTATTATTATTACATTAATAATGATCTTTAGATCATTATTTGATTCGTGAATTTTTTTTGTTTTACTTTTTTTAAAAAGAATAAAACGAAGAGAAAAAGAATATTGAAGATTAATTATAGGGTGTCTCATCACCATCAGCGGCGATACTTTTAAATTTATTATAAAAATTTTTTTTATACTTTTAAATCTTTAAAACAAGTAAAATTTTAATAATTTTATATATTGTGAATTTCTTATCCCATCTCTTGTTTCTTCAACGAAATTTTACAATATTCAAATTAATAAATTATATATTTTAACGGCAATGTATTTTTTCTGGAAGTGTCTTATTTATTCAACTTTAAATCATTTTTTGAGCTCATATTTTTAATTTAAAAATCTGATTTTACTGGAAATGAGAATACCTATCTTATGAATTATAGATAATTTTATAGTTATCTTTTGAGTCATTTATAATTTATATAAAAAATCTATGGAAAAACTAATATAAGTTATATTAAGTTCAAAAGATCATGTCAAAATTGTCTGAAATTCATAAGGTATTTCAAACATAATGGAATACATTTCCGGAAAATCAGAGTTCTAATTTTAAAATAATGCGCTCAAAATAGGATTTAAAGTTGAAAAAATAACACATTACTGCTAACATAAATACTATAGGACAGTGGTTAAAAAAATTCAGATGTGGATTAATAAAATAACCCTTTCTTAAAAAATTCGGATTAATGTTAAACTAATATTTTTTATTTTCGAATGAATAAAAGTAGGAAGATTTTTAAAATTGTATGAACGTACACGAAGGAACAATTAATATATATAATTCATCAACTTAAAATAGGCATAGATGATAGAATAAGTTGCATTTTTGAAAAGTTGCTGCTAATTTCTTTAGTTGAAAATAATAGTATATATTGGTGTCAGAATGGAGGAGCATAGGGCTACGTAACAACCCATTTAATTTGAGCCTAAATTAAAAAAAAAATGACTTAACTAACAATGGTCAGAGCCAGTGAGTTATTCACTCGTGATTAGTTATTAAATATTATTTAAAATTTTTATAATAGAAGACGGTAATAATTGGCTTATCAATTTTTTTTTTAAAGCTACATTCTTCTCATCCATATTACGGCCTTACAACTCGTTTAGTTAAGCGCTGGCTGGCAGCTCATATGTTACTCTCAGGTCATAACGAATATTTTTATCATTTTGCAATGAATTCAAATATCAAATCCACAACGATTGATGATTTATGGGTGGATATATTTGTTTCGAAGTTATTTCTATGTCCCGAACCTTTTCCTCAAATTAAGTTAATTTTATTCTGGCATTCATATAATTGATTTAGATATTATTTTATATTTACAAAAATTAAGTGAATATACGAGTTTATAAATTTATTAAGATGATGATGAATTTTATCATACAATTCTTTAAAAAAAGTATTAGAATATTACGGAAGGTGGTAAACAAAATTTTAATAAATATTATTAAAAAAAACGAAAATAAATAAAAATAAAAGTTGTCCTTCCCTAGGCTTTTTACGATTCTTACATTGCCTTTCTACCTTCGATTTCGACATGGAACCTTATTTCATCCCTCTACTTAATTCTTCACTTTCTTACGACGACGTGACCTCTATACGTCTGGCTTTCAAAGCTCATAGAATAAAAGGAAAATTTCCTAATATTCCAAATATAGTGTTGGATTATACAAATACCACCTCACGGAAGGACAAATGTACTGAACAAGAATCTGATTTCGGCTCGGATTCTCAATATTTTAACGAATTTATTAATGGGAGTCTAGCCCCAAGTTCACAGGTGTTCAGAAGAACGTTAATTTTGGCTAGGAAAGTTTACGAAAACTTATTGAATGAACCATGCCTAAATGTGAATGTTTCTAATGATATCATTATAAGCCGCGGAGAACATATGAAGGTATACTATACTATTAATTTTGTTATTTAAGTTTCTAATTGATTTAAAAATAAGAATTATATTACATTTTAAAATATTTTCTCAGTGAATTTATAATTTTATTACAAATTTGAAAATAATAAGCACTGCGGGAAGATAATCAATTTAATAATATATAAATTTGATAATTTTTAATTGATTATTTTGGTTTTGTTAATAAATATCATTTTTTTGTAATAATTTAGCTTCAGATCTTCTTATGGCCTCAAGGGACGATTTTTTAAACTGCTTTTCAATATTGAAACATTTTTGAAAAAATAAAAACTTATTTGAACATTTATTTAATATAAAATTCTTTAATTTCTTTAGAACATCATCTTCGAAACACCCCTTAAAGATTACGATTTACTAATAAGGCTCAAGAAGGCGAAAATAACCCGTTGCAGTCAAAACATAATGAAACCTTCGAGACTTTACAGCCCTCTTATTTTTTCCAATATTAAAAATAATTATGGATCTATGCCTATTAAGCCAAAAGAAGATATGACAGGAAATTATAATAATAGATTTCCTGACAATTTTTTGATTGATTTAGACCCGATCCAGATATATATGGATGAATTGAATGTTAGCTATACTCATTGAATAAAATAGAGTTCTACTCATTTTATTCTATTATTTTTCATTATAGTGAAAGTCACGGTCTTTGGCCTGAGCCGGATTGATACACATAGCCCGGATCGGGGCACGTCCCTCAAATAAAAAAGCGGTCCAGGTCGTAGTTCTAAATAAAAAGATCAAACGGTTTTTTTGTTATTTTAAAAATATTTTCGTTTTTCTTTAATTTAATTCTTATTTTATTTATTAAATATAAGAATTTTTTAAGTTAACAATACCAAATCATATACGAATAATATAATAAAGAATACAAATATTAAATTTAAAAGTAAAAGTAAAATGCCTTTTTGGCAATGTTTTCCTCGTATATTGCAAAATAAAATAACCATAAAAGAAAAAGAATTAAAAAACTAAAGTAATTCCTCTAGAAAAGTAATATAAAAAAATATATGAATGGTAGGGGCAAATTTAAATTAATAAAAAACCAATCTAGACTGCGGTCCTCGAAAAAGATTAGTCTGCCAATCAGTTTCAGTCTAAGACCGATTCTACCGGACTGTTGACCTTCACTATTATTAAAGACAAAATTGATTTGATACTAGTTATGATGTAAGTATAAAATGTTGTTTAATTTTAACTCTTCAAGTATTAACAAATATGTTTACAACTATACTAATAATTTAAAACTATTTGTAATATATTTTAAATCTGTTTAATTAATAATTAAATGAAATATCTGAAATAATTTTTTATAGAACACATTCGGTCATTTGGCTCTATTTTTCAACGACAAATTTGGCGGGGATATTATAGGTGTGGTATGGAAACCCAATGTATATGATAAACTTACCTCTATTAATAAAGTAAAAGCTTTTTAAAATGTTTTTTAGGAAATTCTTTAATAAATAAATGTTTTTAGGGTGTGGATTATATTCCGCTTCCAGACATAATGGTCTGTTGGAGTTAGTCTTGCAATATGATGAGGTTTACTCCGAATGCCTCTTCCTCCAATATTAGAGTTTTTTTAAAGCCATTCATCTATGGTTTAAAAAAAATTTACTGCTTGCCCATTATCTAAAAATTTGTTTAACTTACCTGCCCAGTTTTTTAAAATCTTTTGATTGGTTGGTTTGGATCTTTATTTTATTTTAATACATTTTTACAACTTATAAAATCTGCAATATTATTCTTAATAATTATACTCTTTCTGTTTATTCGCCCGAAATTTTTTTAAATATATTCACCTGCCCGCTTAATTTTAAAAATAATTTTAACCCGCCACCCACACTTGCCTAGATAGTAAGGCATGAGTGGGCGATTTAAGTTTCGAATTGCAAACTTCTAGTTTAAGTACTCTAGATCTATTTTCAACTTTTTTATCGCTTAAAATTGTTAAATGTAAAGATTTAAATTTAACGCAAATATTTACTTTTTAATACAAATCGAATTTTTTTTATTGTCCTTTTACTATAATTTTTCAAATTTTACATAATCATAGTTAAAAATTATAATTATATAATTAAAAATAAAATTCTATAATTGAGTCCCCAAAAAGGAACCATTCTAAAAATTTCAATTTGAATTTGTTGGCGAATAAAGAAATTGTCAGGATTCATTTGTAAAAAACCGTATTTTATTTCCCAGATTTTTTAAAAACTTAAATGTTGATGGCGAAAAATGCCCGTTCGTAGAGGTCACTACTAGAGTGAATATGAAATTTTAAAAATTTTTAATTTCTGCCTTTAGATTGATATTTATGTTTGAGGGGAATAACGAGACACATGTGTAATCCCATATAAGTGATTTACCGAGGGCCCAAGGTATGGTTGTCATACCATAAGGTCTTAAGCCATCTATTTGAGATATGTTTGTTCGAAATGTGGGCAACTGTTAGACTTCTTTTTATTACATGGTTTACTGCTGTGTGGCGTTGGTGTCACCCTTGAATAAATATATAATTAAGGCCATGCCTACCCTTTGAATCGACGGGTGATTTGCATTTGATGCAAGCATGTGGCTGTACGATGTCACAGCCTATTACTCTCAGTTGTTTATCTAAGAGATTACCAAGGTTACGACTAGGGAGTGATTCTAACCATTCATGACCACCAAGTCTGTCAGATAATTGAAGGAGTTGAATGCAATCTAAAGGTGGATTTATTGATATATCTGTTTGGTATTTCGAGATTAAAGGTGCGAAATTTTTTTTATGTATGATGATTGATGGTAAGTCAGTGTTAATGGGTTGTATTTGCCTCATTTGTCAATTGCGTCATCTAATAAACGATCGGTAGGGCATATGAAGCCAGAAATCATAGAATTGTTTGATAATCTAGATGATACGAATGATGATAAGGATAAAAAATTGAGTGGCAAAAAATCTTAACCGCCTAGTTTAGAAGGTAGCTGAGCAAGTGACCAATTGAATGAGTTTAAATTTAGGTTTAAAATATTTTCTATAGATATTTAAAATTTATCCTGAATTATAGATATGAATTCGTTGTTTTTGAAAAAAGATGATGATCGGAAAATGTGCAAAAATTTAGGTATATGAAGGCATTTGCCTTTTAAAAATAAACTTTGGTCTGCCGGTAGGTGACATAGAATGTGCTCCATGCTGTAAAAGCTTTTAAAAATGTTATGAAGGAAACTTACTGACTTGGTAGTATTAGCTAATGGGGATCCAAGTAGGGTTAAACTATTGGGAGCAATGATTTTGTAGGCTTCCAACTTTCATGGCTTATTGTTTAAAAAACATAATTCTGTTTTATTTATGTTGAGTACCAGGCCGATAGCCTGGGAATTGATTTCCAGGTGTTTTAAGGCGCTAAGTACATTAGCTGAGGGGCCACAGATGGTCTCATTGTTTATATACCATAGATTAAGATCTAGGTCAAAATTTTGTTTGATTTGGTAGATGAGATGATGGATTCCAAAACAAAGAAGAAGAGGTCCTAATGGATCCCCTGATGCCTTCTTGGGATAAAATCTGAAAAGATCCATATGTCAGAGGCGTCTGAAAGCCATATGAGGATTCAATGAATTTACAGTAACATGGAAAAGTTTCATGGAAAAATTTTTAAAAGAGGTACGATGTAGGCTATTGTAGGCATTTTTGAAATATATTTTACATATTACAGTCTGGTGGCAGGTTTTCTATGTATATTCTTAAGGTATGAGCCACTATTTCGCAGCCGCCCTTGATCCCGAAACCTAGTTGATGAGACTTTAAAATGTTGACAGCATCATGTTTGATGCGTTCGATTATGATTTTAGCTATTAATCTTCTGAAAAAGGAGCCTACTGCAATGGGACGGGTACCACCATCTGGCTTGGATATAGCAATTAGACGTGCACCAAAAAGGATTTGGTGAGTTTGTATTCAGATATCATTATTAATTATGTTATTACAAAAAGTTGTTAAAACCTTAATGGCAGAACTATGGGAAAGGATTTTTTGAATTAATTAAGTATTGAAAATAGGAGGGTCTGAAACCATCAAGACCATCTGCTGAATTTTTGAAAGAACTGATAGCGTTGACTATTTCGTCACTGGTAAAAATTACAGTGGATTAGAGGGATGGATAGATTATCGGTGGAAGCCTCGGGATGTAGTTGTTTCAATAGTTGCAATGTTTCTTCATTAATAGGATAAAGACGGTTATTTGAGGATATAAGTTTAATTGCACCACCTATGTCACCTTGATCTATTTTATTTGATATTATTTTGCATTTATGTATATCATCTACTTGCTTTTTAACATTATGATTGTAGTTAATCATTTGAATAGTGTCAAAATTATCTATGTGTGATTTTATTTGTTCATATAATGGGGTCTAAGACATTTGCCAGAGAAGGTTAATAAGTCTTCCCATGATTTTAAGCAATTTAAGTTATTTCTTTTGTGATAAGTTTTGTAACAATTGAAATTAGGTTTCTAGATTTATTGGGTAGAGTTATAGTGGGACCATTTTTCCATTCAAAATATCTTTCAATAAAATCTTTGTTAATAGGAGGATGAGGCACAATAATATTTAATAAGGGTTTGAATATTGTTATAATTTCAATGGTTGGAGATTTTTGAGAGGAAGGACATGTCCATTTGTAACTATGTTTGTATAAAAGATTGGCCTTTGTCACTTTTATGAATTTACAAATGTTAATACGAAATACCTAGTTTCTATATATTCATTTTATAAAACATCCTACATTTTTATAAATAAATATACGAATTAGATGTGTTATTTTTACAAAACTAAAAATTATATTTTTTTCTCATATATAATGTTAGAACGATATATCAGCTTCAACTCTGTTTTATCAAACTCCATTAAACAATTCTAAAATGAAAATTATAAAGACCGATATTGAAGCATCGAATGAAGAAACTGGCTTCGATCTAGTCTCGGATATTAATTCTATCATTGAAGATATGAGAATTATGGGCAAAGGGTTGATTCACACCATTGAATGTAGAACGGAAATATGGAATGAAAACATACTTTAATAATTGGCCATTTTATTATTTAGTGACATAAATATAGTAGAATAAATAAAAAAAAACGATGTAATGTGTCTATGCTTTGGGTTTCTTAACAATTTTATTAATTTTATAACTCTGCACGGGCAGAGCCGAATTCAATCCGACTAAACTCGGGTCAGTTGGACAATTATGTCCTCGGATTTGGTTGGATTAGGACCTTGATTTTATTTTAGGTTCGGATCGGACTTGGAAATTTTAGATTATTTTGTTATCCTGATATTTTTTATTGTCTTCAAGAATAACACCAATTTTTTTATTCGCTTTCGTTGAAATATACTTGTTTTTAGTCTAATAAAAATATTTGGATTGATCTTAGACATAAAACCCGTTAACCATATTTTTTATGATCCGTTTGCTTCTAAGATTAAAAATGATTATCTGTCAAATTATATTGAATGTTGTAAATATAAAACTCTTAGTAAGATCTAATTAATGAAAGGCCAACCTATGTTAATTTAGTTAATCATTCTCCTTTAAAAATATTAAAATTTTTGTTTAATTTTTTAAATATGAAGTTCAATGTTAAATTTAAAAAAATAAAGTTAAGGGATTATTTATATTGATTCATTATAAAATCAATTTTCTAATATTCAAAAAAAACTAAACAAAATGATTTTGAGAAATGAAACATTTTTATTAAGCTATATTATGACCAATCAATGAGCTATTTAGTGCTAAATTTTTTCAAATAGCTTAAAGATAAAATCAATATTATTATTGATTAAAAATAAAATTTCAATTCTAAGTTTATTCCAAAAAGAAATTTTTTTTTTTTAAAAAAAGATGAAATTCATCGTTCTAATTTAATACGTATAAAAATTCATTTTGAATCTTTTACAGAATTATTATCTAATGTGAACAAGTTTTTTGAAACGGCGTTCCTCTTATTTTTGACGAACCTTGAAAGTAAACACTTTCCTTTTGACGAACACTCGTTAAATTTCAAAATTTGTATACATTTGAAAAGAATTCGATTTTTATAAATTAGTTTTTTTAATTAGCTATTTCTCTTATTGCATTTGAATTTTTTTTTAACCCGCCACTATTTCTGTCCTTCAGAATCAGATAAATCAACATTGGTAATATTTATTTAATATACATATAAGTAGCCTGTTAATAATATATTTTCGATTTGTATTTCATAAGCTAATAAATTATTACTTTAATAGATTTACAAAGTAAAAATCAAATTACTAATATTCAATCCACCCTTATTATCATGGATCCCTTGAGCACACGCTCTACAGATAAATGTCAAGCTAGCTATCTTCTAATTACTTTTCCCACCACTCATTGTTTATATACTAATTTCCTGCAGCAGGTGCATTTGATTGAATTTCCATTTCGCCACAAGGCCAGATTTTCTCCACCATCTAAAAATAATTAAAATCAAACTTTAGAAAAGAAATAGCTGACAATTTTTTTTCTCTCAGATTGGGCATAAAATTTTTACTATATCAAATGCTGTATATTATAGTTTAAAACAACGATTAAAAAAATAATAGTTTTTTTACATAAATTTTATTTTATTTATAAAGTTGGTTAATGTTATTTAATAAAATACACATTTTATGAATGATTATCTATTTTTAAAAAAATATAAGATATGTATTAAAATTAATTGAAATGTATTTATCACATGGCACAAAGTATGAGAAATTTTCAGATTTTGATAACCGTTGTTTGTTTCTTTTTCTTGCTATCCAAACAACACTAATTTTTTAAAAAATATAATTATATTTAGATAAAAATTTTTAAAATACCAATCAAATCTCAAAAAATAATATCCAGTGGCCCCTAAAAAATTTAAATTTTTTTATATTCCACTAAAAAAAATTAGAAAACTTAGCTAAAAAAGGTAATAAAATTTTTTTTTTTGAACCCCCTGAGATTGTAAAGGCTAGTGATGCCGCTGACCAGAGGTCTTCTTTTAAGCCTTTTTTATAATAGAAATCTAAATAATTGTTCTATACCTGAATTGGTCATAATTTCTTTTAATTAATAATTACAATTTGTTTAGTGACATTAAAAATCATGATAACTTGTTTGAAGATAATCATTATTTTTTTAAAAAATTTAATCATTATCCCTTAAAAAATAATATTTAGCCGAGCTGCATGCAATTAATATATTAAAAATTTTCTTCTGTCAAATTATACATATAAGGAGAAAGAATAAATACTATGGTTGAAAATACATACAATAAATTTGAATAGCTGGCACCGTCAAATAGCTATATATAAAAATTTCAAAAATAATTACTAATACTTATCAACCCAAATTGATTATTTATAATCTGTAAAAGATTTAGATATCAAAAGTTTACCCACCTTCTTAGTATAGTTGGGTAATGGTTAAATGTCGGTCAATCTTCAGGCACTACCGGAGAAAATCCGTTAATATTAAGGTTTTAATTTATATTAGTTTCTTCTAAATGCTATCTTTTAAAGAAAAACCCCGAAGTAAAAATAAAAATTGGCTTAAACGGCTAAATATATAGTAATTACCCAACTATACTTCTTAGAGATTCATTAAGGTTTGTATGATAAAATTGTTATCGGTTTAAGTTCTGTAAATAATAAAAGTTAATATTGATTTAACGGTTCAGTTTCTCCCGGATTAAACTGCTCATAAATCGAAAATAACTTTCATATTTGAAGATTATCTAAAATATCTTTATATATTGAAAACATTTTTGTTTATATGAAATTTTTTAAAAAAAATTATGACTCAAGGCTATGAGGAAATATTATAATTTTAAAATGATATAATTAACAATCAAATATTTTTTTTATTCATTAAAAAAGCTAATATTTTTTTCATTCCCTTTATGTTAATTTTATGCAAATATATCATATAATAGGGAGTTCTGTTTCTCAATGTCTACACTAAATTTTCTTAAAATAAAAATTAAACGTTTGTAATTTTGGATGAATTACCGATTCCTTATATTTTTTGTTGAAGAATTAATTTAAGATAATATATTAAAAGTTTTGATGGATATTTATATACCAGGATTATCCAAACTATGATCCAAGGAAAGAAAAAGATAGTGATTATGGCATGTATGCAGTGATTCACTCCGCTTCTATTTAATTTGAAATAAAAAAAATTTTTTATTGGATTTGTTGAGGCTTACTATTGAATGGACTGAAAAAAAAAATTATAAAATAATATTGTTCTAAATAATTTGATAATAGATCTCCCATAAAAATATTTCACCCGGGAATGTGGGTGCTTTCACATCTTAACATTTATAAATTAAACTTTTTTGTAGTAGTTATGACTGTAGCTTTAGGGACTATCGGTCTATGTGCCATAGCATCGACTATCACCGCATGTTGCTATAATTCAAAAAAATTTGTAGATTATTTTGTGCTTAAATTTTTTTATACGATGTATAAAAATTTTATGTAATACGAAACAATGGAAAATTAATTGTAAAGGAATATAGGTTTAAATGTAAAATTTATAATTACAAAACATGGATTCCTTGTAGGCAGATATATTTCATAATAAACAAGGATCTCATCAGAAAATTTTAAATTATTATAATTTATGAATTAACGATGGCCACTCGCGTTTGCTAAATAGAGGTATAATTAAATAATTAGGCCTAATATATTTTATTTTGTAATATGAATAACTTACATCTCTGCCCATGTCTTGCCCGTTAAGAATTAATGATATCGTTTGTGAAAGTAATAAGAAATCTGAAACACACACTATTTATAATAAACTTAAACATTGGAGAAGGTATTCATGAAATTTTTTTTTAATTATTATTCAGAGAATTATTAAATTTTTTTGTTTTTTATTGATTTTATTTGCAGACTATTATTTTTTATTATAAATTTCAAGGATTTTATTTTATTATATTAAATAAATAATTTGTTGCGTTAATAATTTTTTTTAATACAAATGGAGATTAATTACCTAGTCAAAATTTTTTTAGTCTCCAAATTAAAGCGTCAATTTTGATAAAATGATTCTGCTTATTAACTTAAATAGTTATCATTCTATCACTTATTTATTATTAAACTATGGAGGTAATCTAAGATGTTTTTTTAATTGGGTTTCGTTAATTTTAATTATTTTACAAATGATCCAAATTCTAAAAGGTGTCCCTTTACCAAATTCAAATTAACAGGTAAATTGGAGATCAGCGTGGCTAGTGATCTCCGAAAAGGTTTTTCGGTCCGTAAAATAATTTTGTACAATTTGCGCCATAATTAGAATCTTATTCAAATTTTTTATTTTACCAAGCTCGGCCTGCCTCAAAATTTTTTTATTAAAGAAATGTCGCATTCCTATGAATAAAAATGAGTAAATATATTGTTGACGAATAAAAGGTTTAGGCTGGAACCAGATTTGTAGGACTTTACCCGTAATAAAAAAAAATTTTTACGAAGGAACAAAAATTTACCTAATTCTAAACTTAAATTTTTTTTTCAAAATTCTGGATAGGTTCATTATTTTACACAAGTTATTCGGTTCGGCCCGCCGTGCAGATCCCTAAGTTAAACAGTAAAATAAATTGCAATATTACGAAATTATCATACCGGTGGTCCTTGAATATATATAATTGGTTGCGGGACATTCTGAATTGGATAAGGTTTGTAACTAGATGCGTTGTGAGGAACGTACTGATCTGCTTGATTATCTTGAAGGTATGAAGGTTGAATGGGGGGTATAGTGGGCGGGTATATATTCGTATATTGGTCTGGTTTATTATCATTATAAGGATAGGGAGGTGGAGGATACGGAGCTGAGGCCATCAACTTATTATCCGTCATTTTTAAATTAAATTAAAGATGGAATTAATCATAAAGTATGTAAAATATTTTTAAATTATATTTTAGAAATAAAAATTAAACAATTGGTTTATTTTATTTGTTATTTTTACTTATTTATTTTGACTATAATAATATAAATTGTACTGTTTGTTGATTAAAATTTATAGTATACAATTTGGTTTTTGTTATAATGTTTATAAATATAATTTATATTGTACTTAAATTTATTTTTCGAATTGTTTATAAATATTTTTCATGGGGAATAACCAGATCTGGCCCATTTATTGGGTCCAAAATCTTGAATAATAGAAATTTATGTTTTATCACAAAACAATGCCGTGTTAAAAAAAAAATTTGACTCGGGCAACTTGCGGAAAAATATATCGAAAATTTTTTAGAAACCATCACTTGCCGAGTTAGGGATGACAAAACCCGTTTAATGGTGAGGGGAGGGGCAAACAAAGCACATTACTTCTATTATAGTTCGTATTACTAAACGACCCAATTAAGATTTTGGCGAAAATAATATCAGGCAAGCCTCAAAATCTGACAGATAGAGGTCCAAAACTTTCTGCCATCTGTGAGAAAAATCTACAGGCTTACATAATCTAATTTTGGTTAAAATCTTGATCAAGCCGTTATTACAATAATTTATTGTAAATTTTTTATTTCCCTAATCATTTATATAAAATAAATTTAACAAACATGAACATTCTTTCCAGATAATAACCAAGATCGAAAATTTACCTGTTCTTGTAAATATTATTTTAAGCTAAGAAAAATTCCTCTTCCATTAAAAATGTATACAATATGTCACTATAAAGAAGAATTTATAAGGAAAATTAGTGCTGTAAAGTAATGTCGATAAAAGTATGTTATTGAAAAGGAACGTAATTCGTTATTTGATCAAGAAGTAACTTTTTGAGTAACGCTAACCCAAAATGTTACTCGATGCTAGATTTTTTCTTAAATAATATATTTATTTTATTATATATTTTAATTTTGTTAATAATTTAGACCTTGATGTTATTCTAATCAATATTGAATCAATCAAGCTATGTTAATTTATATTCTCTACTTTGTTATATTCTAACAACTTTATATTGGTATAATCATGAAATATATTAAAATCCTTACACCATTTTTAAAAAAATTATTCAAAATTTGATTTAATTGTTGATTTATTTTTCAGAGATTGTCTTGAAATATTGATCTATTATAATATAAAATTTACCATGTTGTCGATCCATTGCGTAAAATAAAATTTGTCTAAATTGTTTTTGTAATAAAATTAACTCGGACATATTATTAAATGAATTTTATTTAACTATTATCATTTTTTAATAAAAAAAAGCGTAAAATAAAATAATATTGTTAAAGTTATTAAAAAAAATAGTTTTTTTTTATGATATGATTTGAATATTTAAATAAGGGATGAATATTAAAGTTATCCTTAATGAACTTGAATGTACGGAGAATATGATTGTTTATTTTAAATTTTGCATAAAGAATTTTTTTTTGAATATAAAAACCCATTATTCTTAACGAACTTGAATGTACGGATAATACTATGGTTTATTGTAATTTTGCATATAAAATGTTTTTTGCATATTAATTTTTTTTATATAAACTCGTAATTTTTATAAATAATCATCATTCAATTTTTTTATTTTGAATTTGTTTTTACATAATTTATATTTGGTAATAATAAAGTCATATCCTTAGAAGTGATATCCTTAAAAGGTATTATTATATTTTACTTTGTATTTATACAAATTATACTCTAACCTCGAAATTCAACAAATATCTCTAAAATAGTATTTAAATAAGACTTGCAGAGGTACCATTTGTACGGTCCAGTCCTAATTTTTTTAAAAACATTTACGGGCGGACTAGGCCCAGGTATTTCCAGGCCAGACCCGTATTTTAAAAAAAAATATATTATGTTTATTTTTAATTTTTATAGCTATTAATGACGATTTAAAATATTTGGTTTTAAAATATACGGGTTAGTATTTAAAAAATTTTTTTTAGGCCCGGCCAGACTCAGGTATATTTAAAAAATTAAAAAGCGACCCGGCCCATGTATCTAGGCTGGGCTTGGGACCAGGCATGCAGGTCTCCGATTTAAAGATAATTTTAATAAAAGTGTATCTAGACATAGATACCACATTTTCATACTTGAATACAATTTTTGCTAATGCTACCTGAAGAAATGTGTTTGGAGCAAAATTTAAATTCTTCCAATATTTCCCCTTTTCTCCAGCAATAAAAACATGATGAGATTCGCATTGCGACATAAAGGAAAATAATTAAGTAATTTTATATTAAATTAAGGAATATATTTGTAATTTTTTAATAAACAATTATAAAAATAATTTTCAGTTTATTAATCTCACCAAATCTTTATCAAAATATTTTATAATATTTTTGCATCTTTTAATAATATAAAAATGATAGCTAGATTTTTAAAAAAATCCATTTTTCCCTTGTTGGGATGGCATTGTTATTTTCGTGTTTTTTTTACGTTTTTCTATTGTTTCATATGAATATTTTTTTTCGTGTTTTTTTTCCATCCATGGACCGAGTTAATCTGAATATTATCAAAACAGTAATATGTCATTGGGAATAGGATGAGATTTGGAATCTCAATTTATGGCCATCTATCTTAAAAATATGATCTGATCGGGTACTCCATACTATAATTTTCTGACAATTTATGAAATTTTGAACTAATCAATTTAAATAAATTTTTATATGGATTTTTTATTTAAATTTAAAATACACCAAGATTTATAGCGCAAATTATCTGGTTCTAAAAAGCGTGTTCGATTTTTTCCAAAAAATAAGCTTCCATAGACTAAATAAATTTTCTACAAGATGGTTTATATAAATGAGGCATAATTAATGTAATCCAGAATTTTCATGCATTTTTTGAACGTAAATTTTATTGAACTATTTACTTCTTTTTTTTATCCCGATTACATTTATAAAAAAAAACACTTTTGTTTTTATAAATCTTTTTCTTTTCTTTTAAACATTTTTCTCGCATATTTAAATTCCCCATTCCTCTTGGAGTTTATGAAAATGGAATCAAAGTCCTTATCGAAAATATTCTAAATCTTAAATTTGATGAAATAGCATGGACACAAGCCTCTTTACTTACTAAGATGGGAGGTCTCGGTTTCAGATCTCCATCCGATCTCGCCTTAACAGCCTTCATATCCAGTTGCCTTTTAACTAAAAACATAGTAAATTCTAATTCTTTAAAACCCGACTAGTCTTATAATGATGCAATCATCGAATGGAAGACTCGTATTATTGCGGATCGCCCTCTTCCTGAATCAAATAAGCAGAAGGACTGGGATAGGCCTATTATTGCACTCTGCGTTGAATCACTCCTTTCCAGAATGCAATTATCTGATCGTCCCTTATTCTCCTCTCTGTTTAATGGTTCAGGCCATGAGTTTCTTGAAGCTATTCCGTCTGTTAATCTGCAATTACAACTGAATAAAAACGAGCTTACTCACGCGATCGGTATTCTATTAAATTGTCTAATTACGCAACCACACACATGTTCAGGTTGCAGTTCTGCAGTTTTGGGCAATGGCAGACATAGTCTTCACTGTCGCTCGTGTAAAGGTCGAATCGTTAGACATAATCTATGCAATTCAATCATTCTTAGAGCTCTGAGATCCGCTCAAATCCCCTTTACTCTTGAACCTTCCGGTCTTTTCAGATCTGATGGGAAACTGCATGACGGGATTTCTCAAATTCCTTGGAAGCGCGGTCAATTCCTGGTCTAGGACTACCCTTGTATTGTTCCACTTGCTCCATCAAATCAAACAATTAATATACTTGAGAAAAAGGAGTCACTCAAAATAGCGAAATATTCTGAAATCTCTCAAGAATATATTTTCATCCCCATCATTTCCACAACCCTTACAACTTTTGGGAAATATGCCTTATCTTTTTTCAAGGAACTTGGCTCCCACATTCGTCAACTAACCGGTGAACCCCGCGAGGGCTTCTTCTTAAGTCAAAGACTCGCCATTGCAATACACAAGGCTAATTATATTAGCTTCATAGGCAGTTCTTTCCACAAGATGATCCTTTTTAACCTCAATATTTTTTATAACACCGTTACAAATATATTCTCCAATTAATAATAATATTCTTTTAATTTGTTATATTATTTTTTTAATTATATTTTTTTTAAATATATTTTTTTTAAATATATTTTTTTTAAATATATTTTTTTTAAATATTTTTTTTTTAAATATATTTTAAATTTCTCTTTTATTCATACATATTTTTTAATTCATTTTTTATATATCATTAGATTTTATATATATATTTTTTTAATTATAATTTGTAAATGAAAAATTTGTGAAAATTTGTTACTTAAATTATTGTCATTACTTTTTTAAATTAATAATCATACTTATTAAATATATTTTTAAAAATACTTGAGAACTAACTTTTTGATTTAAAAAAATATAAGTTACATTTTTTCGATTCAAAAATGTAGCTAGTTACTTATCTACAATAATGTTATAAGAGGTAATCTGATAAAGTATAACTAGTGTTGTTAATTTGCTACCCAATTTTGTGCTAATACTTGCTATGAGCACGAACCCTGAGCACAAACCCGAGGTCTGTGCTCGGGATTCAGACCCGGGGTCTATGCTCGGTATTCAGACCCGGGGTTCAGACCCGGGGTCCAGATTAGGAGTTCAGACCTGGGGTTGTTTTTAATTATTATATTATTTTACCTTTTCGTTTACTTTAAAATTTTTCTGCTTTCCCTAATTTAAGAATTTTATATAAATATTTATTAACCATTCCTACAACCTCATGTACTGCTAAAAGAGTCATGAGTAAAAGTAAATTAATTAAAACAAGACTTCGCAGTACCATGAAAGATTCTTTTCTCAATAATTTAACCTATAAATTCTTTCGCTTTCTCTTCCCCTAATTTACCTAAATTATTAATTTAAAAGTAATATTTAAAAAGTATATATTTTTTGCATTTTATTTATATTATATATTAAAAATTGATGCAATAAAAA